ATGAGTCTGCTCTGTGGCAGAATACATCCACCAGTCTGCTTTGTGGCAGAATACATCCACCAACCTGCTTTGTGGCAGAATACATCCACCAGTCTGCTCTGTGGCAGAATACATCCACCAACCTGCTCTGTGGCAGAATACATCCACCAATCTGCTCTGTGGCAGAATACATCCACCAGTCTGCTCTGTGGCAGAATACATCCACCAGTCTGCTTTGTGGCAGAATACATCCACCAACCTGCTTTGTGGCAGAATACATCCACGAGTCTGCTCTGTGGCAGAATACATCCACCAGTCTGCTCTGTGGCAGAATACATCCACCAGTCTGCTTTGTGGCAGAATACATCCACCAGTCTGCTTTGTGGCAGAATACATCCACCAACCTGCTTTGTGGCAGAATACATCCACCAGTCTGCTTTGTGGCAGAATACATCCACCAGTCTGCTTTGTGGCAGAATACATCCACCAGTCTGCTTTGTGGCAGAATACATCCACCAGTCTGCTTTGTGGCAGAATACATCCACGAGTCTGCTCTGTGGCAGAATACATCCACCAACCTGCTCTGTGGCAGAATACATCCACCAGTCTGCTTTGTGGCAGAATACATCCACGAGTCTGCTCTGTGGCAGAATACATCCACCAGTCTGCTTTGTGGCAGAATACATCCACGAGTCTGCTCTGTGGCAGAATACATCCACCAGTCTGCTTTGTGGCAGAATACATCCATGAGTCTGCTCTGTGGCAGAATACATCCACCAGTCTGCTTTGTGGCAGAATACATCCACCAGTCCTGCTTTGTGGCAGAATACATCCATGAGTCTGCTTTGTGGCAGAATACATCCATGAGTCTGCTCTGTGGCAGAATACATCCACCAGTCTGCTTTGTGGCAGAATACATCCACCAACCTGCTTTGTGGCAGAATACATCCACCAGTCTGCTCTGTGGCAGAATACATCCACCAACCTGCTCTGTGGCAGAATACATCCACCAATCTGCTCTGTGGCAGAATACATCCACCAGTCTGCTCTGTGGCAGAATACATCCACCAGTCTGCTTTGTGGCAGAATACATCCACCAACCTGCTTTGTGGCAGAATACATCCACGAGTCTGCTCTGTGGCAGAATACATCCACCAGTCTGCTCTGTGGCAGAATACATCCACCAGTCTGCTTTGTGGCAGAATACATCCACCAGTCTGCTTTGTGGCAGAATACATCCACCAACCTGCTTTGTGGCAGAATACATCCACCAGTCTGCTTTGTGGCAGAATACATCCACCAGTCTGCTTTGTGGCAGAATACATCCACCAGTCTGCTTTGTGGCAGAATACATCCACCAGTCTGCTTTGTGGCAGAATACATCCACGAGTCTGCTCTGTGGCAGAATACATCCACCAGTCTGCTTTGTGGCAGAATACATCCACCAACCTGCTTTGTGGCAGAATACATCCACCAACCTGCTCTGTGGCAGAATACATCCACCAGTCTGCTTTGTGGCAGAATACATCCACCAGTCTGCTTTGTGGCAGAATACATCCACCAGTCTGCTTTGTGGCAGAATACATCCACGAGTCTGCTCTGTGGCAGAATACATCCACCAGTCTGCTTTGTGGCAGAATACATCCACCAACCTGCTCTGTGGCAGAATACATCCACCAGTCTGCTTTGTGGCAGAATACATCCACCAGTCTGCTTTGTGGCAGAATACATCCACCAGTCTGCTTTGTGGCAGAATACATCCACCAACCTGCTCTGTGGCAGTATACATCCACCAGTCTGCTTTGTGGCAGAATACATCCACGAGTCTGCTCTGTGGCAGAATACATCCACCAGTCTGCTTTGTGGCAGAATACATCCACGAGTCTGCTCTGTGGCAGAATACATCCACCAGTCTGCTTTGTGGCAGAATACATCCATGAGTCTGCTCTGTGGCAGAATACATCCACCAGTCTGCTTTGTGGCAGAATACATCCACCAGTCTGCTTTGTGGCAGAATACATCCATGAGTCTGCTTTGTGGCAGAATACATCCATGAGTCTGCTCTGTGGCAGAATACATCCACCAGTCTGCTTTGTGGCAGAATACATCCACCAACCTGCTTTGTGGCAGAATACATCCACCAGTCTGCTCTGTGGCAGAATACATCCACCAGTCTGCTTTGTGGCAGAATACATCCACCAGTCTGCTTTGTGGCAGAATACATCCACCAGTCTGCTCTGTGGCAGAATACATCCACGAGTCTGCTTTGTGGCAGAATACATCCACCAGTCTGCTCTGTGGCAGAATACATCCACGAGTCTGCTTTGTGGCAGAATACATCCACCAGTCTGCTTTGTGGCAGAATACATCCACCAGTCTGCTCTGTGGCAGAATACATCCACCAGTCTGCTCTGTGGCAGAATACATCCACGAGTCTGCTCTGTGGCAGAATACATCCACCAGTCTGCTCTGTGGCAGAATACATCCACGAGTCTGCTTTGTGGCAGAATACATCCACGAGTCTGCTCTGTGGCAGAATACATCCACCAGTCTGCTTTGTGGCAGAATACATCCACGAGTCTGCTCTGTGGCAGAATACATCCACGAGTCTGCTTTGTGGCAGAATACATCCACGAGTCTGCTTTGTGGCAGAATACATCCACCAGTCTGCTTTGTGGCAGAATACATCCACCAGTCTGCTTTGTGGCAGAATACATCCACGAGTCTGCTTTGTGGCAGAATACATCCACCAGTCTGCTTTGTGGCAGAATACATCCACCAGTCTGCTCTGTGGCAGAATACATCCACGAGTCTGCTTTGTGGCAGAATACATCCACGAGTCTGCTCTGTGGCAGAATACATCCACCAGTCTGCTCTGTGGCAGAATACATCCACGAGTCTGCTTTGTGGCAGAATACATCCACGAGTCTGCTCTGTGGCAGAATACATCCACCAGTCTGCTTTGTGGCAGAATACATCCACCAGTCTGCTTTGTGGCAGAATACATCCACGAGTCTGCTTTGTGGCAGAATACATCCACGAGTCTGCTTTGTGGCAGAATACATCCACCAACCTGCTCTGTGGCAGAATACATCCACCAGTCTGCTCTGTGGCAGAATACATCCACCAGTCTGCTTTGTGGCAGAATACATCCATGAGTCTGCTTTGTGGCAGAATACATCCATGAGTCTGCTTTGTGGCAGAATACATCCACGAGTCTGCTTTGTGGCAGAATACATCCACCAACCTGCTCTGTGGCAGAATACATCCACCAACCTGCTCTGTGGCAGAATACATCCACCAGTCTGCTTTGTGGCAGAATACATCCATGAGTCTGCTTTGTGGCAGAATACATCCATGAGTCTGCTTTGTGGCAGAATACATCCACCAGTCTGCTCTGTGGCAGAATACATCCACCAACCTGCTCTGTGGCAGAATACATCCACGAGTCTGCTTTGTGGCAGAATACATCCACCAGTCTGCTTTGTGGCAGAATACATCCACCAGTCTGCTTTGTGGCAGAATACATCCACCAGTCTGCTTTGTGGCAGAATACATCCACCAGTCTGCTCTGTGGCAGAATACATCCACCAGTCTGCTTTGTGGCAGAATACATCCACCAGTCTGCTCTGTGGCAGAATACATCCACCAGTCTGCTCTGTGGCAGAATACATCCACCAGTCTGCTTTGTGGCAGAATACATCCACCAGTCTGCTTTGTGGCAGAATACATCCACCAACCTGCTTTGTGGCAGAATACATCCACCAGTCTGCTCTGTGGCAGAATACATCCACCAGTCTGCTTTGTGGCAGAATACATCCACCAACCTGCTTTGTGGCAGAATACATCCACCAGTCTGCTTTGTGGCAGAATACATCCACCAGTCTGCTCTGTGGCAGAATACATCCACGAGTCTGCTCTGTGGCAGAATACATCCACCAGTCTGCTTTGTGGCAGAATACATCCACCAACCTGCTTTGTGGCAGAATACATCCACGAGTCTGCTTTGTGGCAGAATACATCCACCAGTCTGCTCTGTGGCAGAATACATCCACCAGTCTGCTTTGTGGCAGAATACATCCACGTATCTGCTTTGTGGCAGAATACATCCACGAGTCTGCTTTGTGGCAGAATACATCCACCAGTCTGCTTTGTGGCAGAATACATCCACGTATCTGCTTTGTGGCAGAATACATCCACGTATCTGCTCTGTGGCAGAATACATCCACCAGTCTGCTCTGTGGCAGAATACATCCACCAGTCTGCTCTGTGGCAGAATACATCCACCAGTCTGAGGCCTTGACTGTTGCTACACTTCTTGTGGTGAATGTGTCGCTAAAGTAATTTTCACCTGTAGATGTGGGGGGAGGGAGGGGGGTTGGAGCGAAGGGGCGGAGCTATCAGAACGCTCGGGTCAGTCACACAGCTCAGATCTTTTTCTGCAAGTGCTCACATCAGGTTTTACAAGCTCTTGCATTTTGCACCATATCTACCTTCACACCTCTCCACAGTGATGCTGCTAATCGTTAGCAGCTAACAGTCAACAGGTAACAGCTAACAGCTAGCTACCTGAGAACTGTCATTCACATGATGTTTCACCATCAGCCCAGGTGTATTTCAGACAGGTGAGGGGGATAGCATGCACCTGTCTGGTTGTAACAGGCTGCTGACATACATTAGCTCTCAGCTAACGTCAGCATGACGTCAGCGTTAACCAAGCTGCAGTTAGCATCCATCAAAAACTAAATTAACATGTGTATAAAGTGTGTATAATGTGTGTATTCTTGGTGTTATTGTGTATAAAGTGTGTATATAGTGTGTATTCTGTGTGTACCTCTGGGGGTAAGCATCTTGGTGTTATCAAATCAAATCAAGTTTTATTTATATAGCACATTTATAAACCATTTTTGGTCGAGCCAAAGTGCTGTAGCTACATATAATAAAATTAGCCTACAGTAGAGACACTTTACAGCAAATACAACAACACAGATTATTGTGTATATAGTGTGTATTGTGTACCTCTGGAGGTGAGCTTCTTGGTGTTGATGATCTTGGCGGCATACTCCTGTCCCGACAGAACCTTCACACAGCGGCGCACCACGGAAAACGCTCCCCTGGAAACACAGATAACCAATCAGCTTCATTTACAGAGAGGAAACGTTTAGACCAATCAGCTTCATTTACAGAGAGGAGACGTTTAGACCAATCAGCTTCATTTACAGAAGAGACGTTTAGACCAATCAGCTTCATTTACAGAGAGGAAACGTTTAGACCAGGCGTTCTCAAAGTTTTGATGAGTGAGGGCCAATTTAGGTACCCAATATTGGATTGAGGGCCGCCCAAGAAAAAACGGAACACAAAATAATTCCAAAACAAATCCTTTCTTTATTGTACTAACCAATTGTGTTAGCATGTTCAGCTCCACATGTCAGTAATACTGCTATCGTTAGCCACTGGTGTTGAGCTCCACTGTTAGCATTTTGCTAAATTATTTCAACGACACTTAAATGCATAATTATATTTTTGTAGCAACAGGTCTGTTAGATATTTCTGTAATATGTTTGCTAATACATTTGTATTCTTATAGGACACATGTTGGTGAAAGTAAGATATGGCGAAAGCCAGAAATATGTGAAAGTGTCTGAGACTGAAGAAGGCTATGAAAGCTACAGTACATTTCTTCAGAAAGGTATGGATAACTTGAATACATATCACTGATTGTTTGAGTCTAACAAATGAATCTTGTTTTAGTTAAACGTACCAATATTGTCAGGTGGTACATTTCAATATTCTCTCTCAGTAATAGAAAAGTTAGGTTTACCACTACAGAGTGAGCTGCACTTGACTGATGAATCAGGGACAGAGGTGGATGCAGATGTATTTGAAGAGCTTTTACAAGCAGGGAACCTTACAGTCAAAGTGTCCACAGGACAGTCTTCAGGTAAGATTCAGACTCGCAATGGAAAATCAGGGACCCATCCCTACTGAGTTTTTGCTGAGATTACCCTGTAACATCGTTTGGAGGGCTGAAAGTATGTTTTTGTTCTTCTTTCATTGAGTATGTCATTCTTTTATCTATCTTGCAGTTGTGCTTCAAAATGTATCGCACACTTTGCTGGAGTCGGACCTTTCAGACTCATTCTCATTCTCCGTGACCAATGCTTCATCCTCTGCGGTGTCTGATTCATCAGATGCAAGAATAGTTCTTGAGAGAGACAGTGGAGTGAAAAGAGTCCACGCTGATCGGGAATCAGCCAAAGAGGTACAGGGGACTACACTTTTGCAATTTACTCAGTTCTTTATTAATCATTAAACATTGATATATTGGGCAGATAACCTATGATTTGTATGGAATGCCCAAGATAATGACTTCCCATATGATTCTTCTTTATCTTCTAGATGGTCAGCGATGTTCTCCAGTCTAAGCTAGGGGGAGAAAAAATCTTGCAAGAGTATGCAACAACTAAAACATTGATGGATGGTACACGACGACAGATGGTAAACCTACTGGTGGCTGACATGATGGAAGTTCATGGGTAAGGACTGAATATTCCCTTTGGTGTTAATCATGTTTTCACAGATAGTGCTAATGTACATTTTGGAAACAGCTGCTCACATGTTAAAACAATCTAAAGCTGTAAGGCATTTATACTTTTAAGATAAAATATATATTTTTTTTTTTAAAGGAGGATCCCACCAACACATGTGCGAGAAACGTGTGCTCTTGGCATCATCACTCTATTTCCATGTCTAAGAGATCCATACTCAAAGAATGGATACGTAAGTCTATGAATGAATGACCTGTATTCGAATTTGTGAAAAGGAAGTGTGTTCATTCTTAACTTTTTGAACAACCTTCCTGCAATGCTATCACTTCTGTGTTCTCAGTTTTGATTTATTTTTGGATGTTACAGGAACACTACTATGATGCAGATGGTGGATCTGGCTACTTGGCATGGAGGATAAAGACGGTTCAGCGCAACACTGCGGTTCAGTCCCGGAGGTGCTACCCCAGCACTACCTATCAAGATGGTCCAAAGAGCAAGAGGGATTTTCTCTTGACTTGTGAGCAACTGACTGGCGAGGAATGCAGAGAGGCAATATCCTTCATGAAGCATTCAACTGACGAATCAGTTGTCAAAGAGAAGATGAAGGCAACATTTCAGTGTCGGCAAGCAATGACTCGGGACCAGCAAGCCTCTTCAACAGTCCTGGATGTGTTTCCTGGTTTCCTCGATGTCCCTGGCTTGGTAAGAACAACATGTCATATTTAGTTTCTTATTTGGATGGTCTGAGGGGTTGCCATGACTCATGGTGTTTCTCCTGTAGGTTGACCAAGATTTCACAATGATGTTTGGAGAAGAGATTTCTGGAAAAATGTTGGCGAGATGGCCCACTTGCTTCAAACCTAGGATCTTGGCAGACTGCAAGAACCTACACTCTAATGTTCATGTTGATGACCTCTTTTCTGCACAACAAAACTCAAATGAGTCAGGCAAGTATTTTCTCTTGCAGATTTTGTTTACTGAAAATCTTGAGACCTTTCAATGTTATCGGTTGCATAACCTTGATTTAAGACTATTTTCAGCTTTAAACGACTGACTGTTATATTTGCATCTTTCTTGCCCCTAGGATGGGACAGTGACCTGTCAAGCATTCTACTCTTGGTTCATCTACTCCCCCCAACCTCAAAAGGCCATAAGAAGAGTGCTAAAATGAGCTCGTATCAAGCTGTCAGCCATGTTGTGAGATATCTCAAGGTAGGCATTATTTTAGTTTTTGTATGCAGTTGTTATATCACTGACACTCCTTGAGTTGGGACCATTTTGTTTTAAGTAGCTTAGTCTGCCATTAAAACTTCTCTGTCTCTCTACGTTTTTGCAGATTGGAGCCAGTGTTGAGACCTTCCTTTCGAGTTTGGAACCAGGGCAGCCCTTCCTGCTGTGTGTTGGTGAACAGAAGAACAACATTCAACGGTTCTACGGTTCTACGTCATCGTTGACCACAAGGCCATCCCTTGCAAGGGGCAGACATCCATGGCAGCCTTCGATGAACTCTTCAAAGCTCACTTCATCTTCAGTGTCAACTACCATGAATCCCTCACCAGCTTCTACACTTTCATCCAAACCACGGTATTTAACATTGATATTGGAAGTGCCAAGGAAAGTCCCAGAGTCAAAGAACTCAGAGCAAGGCTTCTGCACACTGATATCTGGAGTTATATACATCACTGGATGCAAATATGCTGATTTGTTTTATCTGTAAGGGACACCACAAAAGTTCTGCATTGCTTCGTCAGCATTTGAAATTTCACCAGGGTTTGTATCCTGGAAAGTCATTACGTTTGAAATGTGGCCAGCCGGGATGTTCTTTATCCTATTGTACTTATTCAGGGTTCAAAAAGCACCTCTTCAGTCTGCACAGGGACACTGGTTCAACTGTTACTATGGACAATGTGGACACTCAACGAGAAACTGATGAATCTCCAAGTTCTCAGGCAGTTTGTACTGACACTTCCGTAACCTCCCAGGTTACTTTTGATACACAGCACGTGTTAAACATGTGTGGGTCTGTTGTAGCCCAGTTACAAGCATCTGGTGTTGCTGAGAGCACTGTCCAAGCAATGGTGGGGTCCATGGAAGAGCTTGTAAATGATATTCATAGACAAGCAAGAGATGCAGTTCTCAACTGCAGGTCAGAGGTCCAAGGCACTGATTTGGGTAAAAAGTTGGAAAATAGTTTTGATCAGCTAGAGAATCCTTTCACATCCTTTAATACAGGATCCAAACGACAAAGGTTCTTTGAAGAAAGGTGGGAGGTTGTTGAACCTGTTGAGTATGTTCTTGGGGTCAGATTTGATTTACGCAGAGATCGAACAACAGGAGTTTACAATCAGACACCTGTAACAGATACATTTGTGTATGTACCCTTGTTGGGAACCCTTAAGTCCATATTTAAGAACAGTGAACTATGTGAATTATTCCTGCAGGCAAAACAACAAGAAGAAGGTACTTATAAAGACATAAGTGATGGTTCATATTTCAAAAGCAATGATTTGTTTTCCAAGCAAAAACACGCTCTACAGGTTCAACTCTATTATGACGATTTTGAGACAGCAAATCCCTTAGGTTCAAAGAAGGGTATACACAAACTTGGTTGTATTTACTTCATATTGAGGAACCTACCCCCAAAATGTAATTCTGTGCTGATGAATATTCATGTCGTGGCACTTTTTCATGCACAAGACCTGAACAAATATGGATTTGATGCAATACTAAAGCCTCTCACTGATGATCTTAAAATACTGGAAATGCAAGGGATAGAGGTTTCTCTGACTCACCATTGCTAGGATCTGTTATTCAAGTAACCGGTGATAATCTGGGTTTACACGGGCTGTTTGGTTTTGTTGAGTGTTTCAGCGCAACATATTGTTGTAGATTTTGTTCAACTACCAAAGGAGATTTACAGTCCGTCTTCACTGAAGATGACCCTGGTATGGTTTTTCGTACTAAAGAAATCCATGCAGAACATAGTGCAGCTCTACAGGAAAATCCTATTTTAGGGTCAACATTTGGTGTCAAGAAGACATGCTTGCTCAATACACTAACATTTTTCCACACCTCTGATAACTACGCGGTGGACATCATGCACGATTTGCTTGAAGGTGTAGTGCAGTACGAACTGAAACTTGTATTTCAGTACCTTGTCAATAAGAAGTGTCTATCTCTGGAAACACTGTCAATGAGGATCCAAAGTTTCAACTACGGATATACTGAGAGACGGAACAGGCCAAGTGGTTTAAAAATGGATGAGAGCAAAAATCTTGGATTGAATGCAATTCAGTCATGGTGTCTCTTGCGAAATGCTCCCCTTGTTCTTGGTGATGTTGTTGAAAGAAACAACAATTGTTGGAATCTGCTCCTCCTCTTGATTCAGATTGTGAATATTGTTTTTTCACCAATTATTACAAATGGTATGACATATTATTTGAAGCATTTAATCATTGATCACCACAAGCTGTTCAAATCTTTGTTTCCTGACAGAAGACTTCTTCCAAAGCATCATTTTATGATACATTATCCAAGGTGTATTCCAAAAATAGGTCCACTCCTCCATGTATGGTGCATGAGATTTGAGGCCAAACATCATTTTTTTAAAAGATCAGTGAAGAATTTCAAAAACATTACAAAAAGCTTAGTAAAACAACACCAAAGACATTTGGCTTATCACTGGGAGAATGTTAATTTTCAGAGGTTCGAGTTTGGTCCAGTCAGGAAGGAAATGATCGACAGTTTGGAGGGTGGTGAGGCTTTAAGTGCTGCATTTAAGGTGAATGCATACTGCGACGTGTCAACTACTAACTGGATAAAGAACTATGGAACTGATTATCAAATTGGAATGTTTGTTTCCATAAGAACTGATAAAGAAACTCCTGTTTTTGGAAAAATCAATAATATCATTCTAAATGAAGATCGAGCTTTCATTTTGATTTGCAAAGTGGACACACTGTATTTTGATGAACACTATAGTTCATACTGTATTGAGGAGACGATTGATTCATTTTCTGTTATTTCTATTGATGATTTACGTTATTATAGACCCTATGACAAACAGTTTTCTAATGAGATGGATGGAAAAACATACATAGTGCCACATTGTCATATTGTGTAACCTGTGCTGTTAAGGACTGCATGGACGTACTGTGGAATGTAAATGTAAGACTATGTTGTATGTGTTGTTTTCACACAAATACAGTTACATGTTAACTGAACACTTTGAAACTTGGCTTGTGTCTTTCTTTTATATCGTTTTTATTAATAATGTTGCATTGTGTGTAGGTGAAATTATAAATTGACACCCTACAGTGCTTATGAATCAACTCTAAAGAGTTAAATATTGAGTTACATTTTATATCCTTAATAGTGTTAATGTGACTTTAACTCTATTTAGTGTTAAAAATGTACACTTGTGGTGTTAACTTTTGACACTGCAAGCTAGTGTTGCGTACATTTAACACTGACCGGTGTTGACCAGAGTTACATTTTAACTATAGAGAGAGTTGCTGGAACTCTGTCCTAGTGTAAACCTTTTAACACTTTCAAAAGTGTAGTTTTAACTCAAAACAGTGTGGACCCACTTTAAAAGTGTTGGATTTGACTCTATAAGAGTTAAATTAGCACTGCTGATTTTGCTGTGTATGTGCTTAGTGTCGTGTTGATATATGTGTTTAGAGTAGAGTGTTCAGTTACCTTATTTAGCTGTATTTTCTTACAGCTTCCTTTATTTAGTTGTACCACTTTTAGAGTGAGGTTTTGTTTCATTCTCTATATTAGTATTTATTTCTTCTGTATGCCTTTAGACTCATTTTGAGTCCTCCTTTTGTTCGGTTATTTGTCAACCGGTGCCCTTTTGGCCCTTTTGTTGTTTCAGGCTGCCTGCATGCCATTTTGTTTCACCTTGCTTTATAATAAAACCATTTATAATTATTACCAATTCCAATCTGGTGTATGTTGCTTTCCTCTTCCGCTAGTCGGGACGTAACAGATGGGCTATAGCAGTGGTTCTCAAACTTTTTCTGTCAGGCCCCCCCTTTGGAGAAAAAAAAAAGTCGGGCCCCCCAACACAAATAGTCAGGCTCAGTGGCGGCGCCAGAGATTTGTTTTGGGGGTGCTGTGGGGTAGCTTGACGTTTCATAGAGGGTGCTCAAACATTTAGGGGTTCCCATTAATGTACCGGGCGCTACAGAGGAATGTTCTACTGCAACACTCCCCACGCATATACACAGTGTGACAGTTACAATGAAGGCTCGATAATCAGCTCACGGCATATTGAAGTTGAAAGCATCAATCTGGTGCACTTTGAGAGCAACATAAAGAGATCTATGGATACATCTCTCAACACCCATTTGAAACAGAATTGTAAACAGAATTACTATTTCTTTATGGATATTTTACAAATCACTCCCCTTTAAAACTTTATTCTTTTTTTACTGTCATATAGTATTTCATAGCTGTTTTTAATTGATTCTCTTATTTTTTTATAACTATAATGATCATATAAACGTGTGCCTCGGAAATAATTGTTTACATTAATGGTGATCAAAACGTTTGAGACCCACTGAGAGGACTCTCCTCCACTTTGTTGTTGAAAAAACTCCTTATATCCGTTAGCGTAGCTCGCTAGCACCAACAATCTCCGGCACCGGTGCGCTCTCTTTCTCTCGCTCGCGCACACACACAAAATGGATTGTTCCACACACACACACAACACACACACACACACACACACACACACACACACACACACACACACACACTCACACACGCACCACACACCACACACCACCACACACACACACACAATCACACACACACACACACAACACACACACACCACACACACACACACACACACACACCACACAGAGCCGAGCTTTAAATGAAACACAGAGACCCAGAACGTAACAGTACTGTATCATATTATTTTCAATCAATAATTTTTCAAAATATGATTTTTTTTAA